TTATTCATGGGCCTTCCTCTCCTCTCAGGGCTTTTCTGAGCAGTTTTCCCACCTCCCCAAGTGGGTGCCCTCTTGTTCTTTCCCCTTCTTTCTTAGTACTGAAATACAAGTGGAGAGTTCCTTTTACCTGAACCTAGTTAAGGGATTCTCAGAGTAAGAAAAAGCCTTCACCCTCCGTTGAGCACAACTGATCTCACAGATTCATTGCACACAAAGATGCCACTATGAAATATGTCTTTACTGTACTGAGTCACAAACGGTAGAGGGGGAAGATACGGAAGCGATGAGTCACAATACTTAACAGTTAGATATTTGAAAATTTGTGTGCAATGAATCTGTGAGATCAGTTGCACCCGACAGGGGGTTAAGTGTTCAGGAAAAACAGCTATAATGGAAAATTTGGTCTTGTGGGGCATGCCATCCTACCTCCCCACTTCTGAAGTCTCTCAGATTAGATTCCTAGTGTTCTTGTCACACATAAGCCTGTCCTCAACTTAAGCAATAGGGCTTCCTCAGCTTATTTGAAAAACAAAGTGAAGTTTTGTTGTACACTTAATACATTTTGCTACCTTTTAAGCAACTAAAAATATCCAAAGGGGTTTGAATGAAAATAAACTTATCTGTTTTCATAAACATTGGCTGCCCATAATGGTTTTTTATTAATACTGGCTGTTATGGCCCTATTAAAAAATTTCTGGGTCATTCTTTTCCCTGGATTAGGATGAAGGGTGCAAAGAAACCACTGAAGTTGTCATAAAATGATAAAAATGCAAAAAGTATTTCTATTTGTGAGTAATCATAACAATGTCATATTCAATATTCAATATTCAACTTGATTCCTAGAATGTCAAGTTCATTAAGAAGAGAAACTTACCTGGTGGCCTCACAACAAGCAGAGGATTGTCTGTAGAATAAAGAAGAAATAACTGACTTCATTTTCATACTTCACAGCTGTGCAACTGCTGAAATGTTTATTGTAACTGAAAGAGCTAACTAAACTGGAATAGGTAAAGAAATAGATAAGGTTTATTTGAAAGATGCCAACGTTTATCCTTAGTTTTTATTTTCTAATCATTTCCTTTTGAGAAACACTTTGTTATTCATATAGATGCTGTGGGTCTCAGAAGATAACATCTTGACATTGGGTACTGCAAAATAAATACACATTGTGTTTTAAGATGTGTCCATCTTGGGAAAACAGTTTCATGGTGTTTTGAGAAGGTAAACATACACCTACTGTACAATCCATCCATTCTACTCTTGAGTATTTATTCGTGAATGTTCACAGCAGCTTTATTTTTAATACCCAGAAAGCAGAAACAACCCAATATCTATCAGCAGGTGAGCAGATAAACAAGTTGCAGCACAGCCATCCAATGGGGTCCTGCTAAGTAATCAACGAGGATGAACTACTGTGACATACAACACTATGGATGAACCTCAAAATGATTGCGCTTTGTAAAAGAAGCCAGGAAAAAGAGTTCAGGCTGTATGATTCATTTATATAAATTTCTAGGAAGTGCAAATGAATCTGGAGTGACAGAAAGCTGTAAGTGGTTGCCTGGAAACAGATGGCGCACACGGGGCAGGAGTGCCAGATGGTGCGGCAGCCGGGGGAAGCTTGGGGTCCCAGAGATGTTCACCATCGTGACTGTGGGGATGACTCCATGGGGTAAACACACCTCAAAACGTGCTCAGTTGTACACTGAGCATGTGCAGCTTATGGTATGCCATTGTACCGCAATGAAGCTGCTTTTTAAAAATGTCTATATCTTAGCCAGAATAATGTCACTTAAGAGAATATGAAACTAGCTTTTAAAGACTTCCATGTTAGAAGAAGTTTATTTTTATAAAATGCCATGGCCTAGGTAAACAGGAGCCATCATTTTTTGTGAAAAATTATCCTACAGTAAAATTCCTCTTTTAGGGTAAACAGTCTATGAATTTTAACACATGCATACAGATTCATGGAACCCCACCACAATCAACATACAGAATAATCCTATCACCCCAAATCTCCCTTGTGCTGCCCCTTTGTACAGATCATTCATTTTGACATCATCCCCTACCCACAAAATAAAGTGACATGCCATTAGCTGTAAGTGTAAAGGCTCGTTTTACTCTCCTGCTCTTACATTTCAACCGCCTGCTGGGAAAGTCTCAGATATGCCAGGGTGGGCGAAGGGGAGCAAAGCAAGACAACAACACAAGCAACAACAAAACCGAACCCCTGGCACTACCTGAGGCACACATACATTTACTTCATAAATAAGGTTTTGACTCTCATGTTTGGCAAATGTCCTAATTCAATTACTTGATGATTTTCCTGTTGTTGACTTAACTGCAGGGAGTACAAAACGAAGGAGGGACGTTTTTGAGGAAACTCCATACTGTTTTCCACAGTGGCTGCACCAATTTACATTCCCAGCAACAGGGCACGAGGTGTGGAGATTCCTCAAACAATTAAAAATAGAACTACTATACAACCCAGCAATTCCGCTTCTGGGTAATTTATCCAAAGAAATCCAAAACACTAATTTGAAAAGATAAATGCACCCCTATGTTTTTGAAGCATTATTTATAATAGCCAAGATATAGAATCAACGTAGGTGTCCATTGATAGATAAATGGATAAAGAAGGTGTGGTACAAATGTTTACAATGGAATATTACTCAGCCATAAAAAAACAATGAAATCTTGCCATTTGTGACAACATGGATGGACCCAGAGGTGCTAAGTGAAATAAGTCAGACAGAGAAAGAAAATTACTGTATGATTTCACTTACATGTGCAATCTAAAACCAAAACAAAACAAGACAAACAACCAAAACAAAACAGAAACAGACTCAGACACAGAGAACAAACTGATGGTTGTCAGAGGGGAGGGCGGTAGGAGGATGGGTAAAAAAGGTGAAGTTTAATAAGAGGTACAAACTTCCAGTTGTAAAATAAATAAGTCGCAAAGATGAAGTGTACAGTACAGGGAATATAATCAATAATATTGTAATGACTTTGTGTGGTGACAGATATTTACTAGACTTATCGTGGTGATCATATCATAAGGTACGTAAATGTCTAATCACTAGATTGTACCCCTGAAACCACTATAATATTGTATGTCAACTACGCTTTAATAAAAAAATTTTTAAATGAAGGAGAGGCTTGAATAAACTGATGGAATAAAGGGATGATGACCAGAGTGAATAACAGTCACATTTCTGTGTGGGAGAGAATCTTCTGGGGGTTCACAGAAGTGGGGTGTCTGCGGCCTCGCCCAAGAGAGTCTCATTCAGAAGTCTGGGTGCCATAGATTTTCATCACCCACACCTTGGAAGCCACAAAAAAAAATGGGGTGGGAATATGGTGGAACTTGTATTGGGAAGGGGGTAACAGAGAGCTGTCTTTTCAAAATTTTACACTGCTGTCTCAGAAATTACACTTCTATCTTTCTACTCGCAGGTTTTGGACCTCAGTTTCTTGATAACTTTATATTTGAAACACGTGGGTTTTTTTTTTTCTATCGACCTTTATCATATTAATTCTGATAGTTGCCGATGGTCCATTTTATTTTTAGGAAATACAGCTATAAACATAGACGCATTCCTTACATTAGCAAACTAACTACCAATGATGGTTTTCTCTTACTGTTTCCTAATTACTAATGAGAAACACACTTCTTAGAGGAAATAGGTGAAAACACTTTTGAGGTCCTTTGCCTACAATTCCAGTACACAGCATATTCTCACAAAAGATTTTTTTGTTCCACATATTTTGATTCAGGTTTCAAATCATGACATTTAAAAATATCTTCCAATGGCAAATGTTCTGGGAACAAGCTACCTGTCAGAACTAATCTAACCAAATAGAAGCTAGAGCTGGATTAAAACTTGGATAGTAAAATTAAAAGTGGTCTTTATTGGAACTGCCTGGAAAGCAGAAAGGTCAAATTGCAGTGAAATGGAAAAAAAAAAACCTAAAAATCAGGTTTTTTGTTTGTTTGCTTTGTTTTGCTTTTTTTGTTTGTTTGTTTTTGTTGTTGTTGTTTTGTTAGAGCTTTTATTTCCGTGTGGAGCTGGCTCAGTTGGGTTTTTGAAGGTGGCCTGGCTTAGACCACAGGTCCCAACTCCCCAGCTTGGATGCCTACATGGAAAGGCTGCTAACCCCGGAGCTTGTCACCATGGCCAGCTCGGTGGGCTGCTTCAGACCATGACCACAGAAGCATTTTACTGAGGGGCCTGGGAACTCTGCACACCAGCACCCCAAACACAGACACCCTTTGAGTGGCGTTGCCTGTAAGATTAACTAGTGTTTTAATTAAAGTCTCCGTAATAAGTAAAGACATCTTCATTTCCTAGTAGAGGAAGCATCTTAGAGACCTAATTGTTAGAAGCAGCTGCCTCTCAGTCCTCGTGACATTTCTTTTTTTTTAATGTTTTTCAGCTGTTTGCAATTCTAAAAAAATTATCTCTGCAACTAAATCTTTTACAGATAAATTCAAATGTATCTTCCCCACATGGTTGAAAACTGGATTTTCTTTTTCCTTTCACTGGAATTTGACCTTTCCTCTTTCCAGGCAGTTCCAATAAAGACGACTTTTAATTTTATTATCCAAGTGTTAACCTAGCAGAAAGAAAATAATGTTTATTTTATAAAGCAATAGCCAATACGAATTCATTAAATGGAAAAGTTAGGATTTTACTTCTTCAGTTTTTATTCTACTGTAGTCATTATTCCAAATTATTTGTTTTTGAGAAAAGGAAAAAAATGAGGATGTGAAGTCAGTCATACCTGATTCTGTAATGAATGAGACTGAAGGGCTGATAGGTCCATAGCCGTGAGGATTTTTGGCTTGAACTTTAAAATAATACCTGAAATGGGAAGAAAAGAGTTTTTGAAAGAGAAGTTTGTTTAATTTCTGTGTAATAAGACAGATTCCCAAACTATTGAGCACCTGCTCTGTGGCAGGGTTTGAGTCCTATTTTATTAATGCACACATCACTGCTATTTCTTCATATTTTTTCTGAACTTTCTCATTTTCAAAAGGATACAATTAGCAGCAGAGACATGGCTAATGGGAACAGAAGGGGCGTGTTGGGCAAAGAAGTCACTCAGAGAGTGTGTGATCCCATGAGACAAGTCCTGGATGAAATGCTCCTCTCCTGTCCTGCTCCTGTCCCAGCGTGAGTTCCACAGCTCAAGAGGGCTAAGGTGGGGCAGCAAGTCACTTTACAGAGCAGAAGTCACATTTTAACCTAATTCTTATCACTGGACTCCGTGGGAAAAAGCAGGATGCTGGACCCAGTAATGATGCAACTGATGGTTGGCAGCGAGAGGGTGAACCCGTCCAGAGGTTGGCCTCCTCGGTGGAACTAACACGACAACGATGTTTTGGGCACGTGACAAGCACTATGGTTGGGTCTGGACCGTTAAAAGTCACTGAGTTTCAAGTTTCTGGGCTGCAAAGAAAGAGAAGCAAGTCCGGGAGGAGGAAGTGGACAGGGCCTGGAGAAATTCAGCCGGAGTATTCGTCTTTGTCTTGGAACAGGGAATGTGCTAGAAAGCACACAATTTGAATCCACTATCTCATTTAGAAGGAGACCAGATAAGCCAAGTAGCCTGGGAGTCCCCAAACATCTTGCTTTGTTCCCTCACGAGCTATAGGACAAAAGCAGTGGTTAGAAAACACTGGAGACCAACACCGCAGTTGTGACCCACTGCAACTCCTGTTAATCATTGTGTTGTCTTCCCCTCTGGGGGTCCAGATGTTATCTGTGCCCTCTTAGTCCTCTACTTACAGGTGAGGAAGGCACTAAACAACCCTGTGAGCATGGCTTTCCGCCATTTTGGAGAGTTCATGACAAGTCTTCTCTATGGCCTCTGGCCAGCAGGGATTACACTTCAAGGGTACAGAATTCTTTGATTAAGCCTGGCACACAGTTATATGTACTAATTAAAATGCACTAAAATTTTAAAAGGTGAATGATTTACATTCAGACAGCAAAAGCAGATGTCTGTTGCACCACTGTCCTAACACCTTCTGAGCTTCTGACGTCACCAAGGGGGCCTCTGGTCTCACAGCTACACATAGACACTACGTGACTTTGTGTTTGATTAAACAGAAAGCTGGTTTACATGGCTAAAATAATTAAACCATTCAATGAAATTAATCATCTTTTAAGCCTTTGAAGAAGTCATTCACATCTCCTTAAGGAGACAATCCTTTTTAAAATTTCATTAAAAAAAAAAAGATACGCACAATTAAGAACATATGAGTTTCCAAATCTCAGTTCACTCAGCAGTTCATGTTTTCCCAATTATGCAGACTTTTATTCAGTGGTTGTGGAGTTATTTAAGGCAAAGCTCTGCGGGCAGTTCAAGCAGTGGGTTTGGCATATGCCAGTGATAGTGGTTAAGCTTTACAGATACTTTTCTTTTTCTTAAAAAAAAGAAAAGAAAAAAACCTAAGGAATGACACTCATGGTCCAAGGCTGCATGGGACATTTCTGCTGAATGGTTTATAGGCCCCCACTGGAACTGTCCTGACACCACTTCCCTGGGCTCCGCAGGGGAGCTGTACAGGAGGAGACGGCAAAAGGGACGACCAATCGATCACGAGAAGCTATTCCGATTACTTTATTGTGTCAATTTGTCTTGCCACTGAAACCTAAGTATTCCCCAAACCCACCTTCTCTGCCTGCACAATTATTCTATCCTCCCGAAAGCCCACGTGGCCCAATTCCAATGACATATTTCCACTTGAACTTCACCTAATGTGTCAAAGTAAATCTAAGTACGCTGAACTGAAAAGTAACATGGACTTATGAAAAAAGTAACATTTCTATTTTCAAAAACCACATTAAGCTTTTTCTATGAACTAAAATATGTATTTCATACTCTGCCTCATATAAGTAACAAGAACAATTCATGCCTTGCCTTCTTATATAAGCTTTTGGCCCCTTCTTTTCAATAGACTCCACAGTGACACATCTCTGTGCTTTAAGTATGGATTAAAATATGCGGACTCCAGAAAGTGATTTGGGGCTGCGTTGGGTGAATAAAGTGGATAATGCCCACGTAAAGTCAAAAACAAGATTCAATTATAAAGAACCACAGCTGGTTTTACCCTCTGGCCCCTCTTCAGTTGACTGGGGTCTAGTGAGCGTCTCCTACACGGAAGGGACCCTGAAGTTGGTTCCTGAGAAGCCCTGGGGACTGTGATGAGCCTCCGTGGAGGCAGCCTGTGGACTCCTACAGTGAGTCCACCAGACGTGTCCTGCATGAGGGTCATGCAGGGGAAAAGGAGCGTCCCTACATCACAGTCACACTTTCCTAGCTGTAAACATCTAGCAGCTGCTCAGAGGGGTTTTGAGGAAATGTATGTGGCAGGAGGCACGCGTGCCGTGTGTCTTAGCCAGCACTCAGCATCAGGAGAACGAACAACCTAATAACCAGGCCGGCATCCTGGGGATTAGGCTCTAATAGTGGCTGCTGTTCCCAGGTGTCTGTCAGGGAGCTGAACGCGGGTGGAGGGAGGGACCAGCCACAAGGGACTCCACAGGCCCTCTGGGACCCGCCTGTGTAGCATTCTCCCTCCCCACCTGCTCCTGCCACTGCGGCCTCTGTTCCTGCCTGGAATGTCCTTTCTGCCTGGAACAACTTGGCCTCACCCCACCCCCTTGCTCCAGGTTCACTGCTGCTTATCTTACTTCCCCAGACAAGCCCACCTGACTGCCCCTCTGCCCCCAAGCCCAGGAAGAAGTCCCGTTATATACTCAGAGCACCATATGCTTCTCCCCAGGATATTGACCAGTGAAAGTTTATGTTTCTGTTGTTTTAAAATAATCTGTCTCCTCTGGCAGACGGAGCAACATGAGGATGGGGCCATGGTATAGTTTGCGACCCCTCCCTCCAGCCACTCCCCGCTCACTCCACCCTCAGTGCATAGCGTGGGGCCTGGCACAGAGCAAACAGTGAGTACTCACTCAATGAATTGTGGGCACTCACTCATACCTATTAAAAGAACGAATAAACCTTCATCCCACATAACCATCTCCTGACGTTATACAAACTCAACATCAGTCTGGTAGTGAGGGTTGTCGAAAGAACACTGGGCTGGAGGGAGGGGGTGGGGCTCAGGAGACAGGGGTTCAGTTCCACTGGGAGGAGCTCTGTGGCAAACCATCTCTAAGGCCTCTCAGCTTTTTGACACTGGGGCTGTGCTGTCAAAGCACTGTCACTCTGTTTCCTTTAATTGGTTTTCATCACTTTTAGGGAAAAATAAAAGTATTTTCTCAATTTCTTCTTTTGCTACTTGTTTTTTACTTGCCAAACCCTGAAATTCATAATAGTTTATGAAAGCTCAGTTCAAGTGAGCCCAACCAAGTAGCACATGAATGCCCTGAAGAAAGTTCTCAGCTGGTTCAGAAGTCTCTCAGTACCCACAGCTGTTGTCCAATTTCTATCTCCTTTAGCACATTTCTGTTTAAGGACAGTATTTTGCTCCAACCTTCTCCATTTTCCTCTGATCGCAGAGAAAACAGAAGTCCTCTGACCCCCAGTGACGTCACTTAGCGTCACTGTGGCTTGATGTGGCAGTACGTGCTGGAGCCATTTGTACAGGCTTGGCTGAGCTGATCGTTAAATATTCAGGAATTCTGTGGGCCCACCAATAGCATGAAATTGGCCACTGTGGGAGTGTTTACACTACAGAAGTTGGAAAACATAAAAAACCAGAGCCTTTTCTCCCAGAGAGCCAGTTTACAAGCACACCACTGCTCAGCCATCACATGCTTGGTGCTTTGCCATGCTCACCACCAAGGAAGCTTTCCTGATAGTCATTATCATCAAAACCAGATAGTATAAGGAGGAAATGCACATTCACCCGCTTTGTACCCTTGGGGACCAATTTTGCATGTTTCACACCGTGGACTATAAACTGTGGCTCCCAGATGGCCTTCTGGTCAACCAGCCACTGCCCAGTTTAGGAAGACATGGTTATAACCTTCATTCATGTGTAAAATGCATCTTTCTTGAATGGGCGGAACTTCTACATCACAGAGTGTGGGCAATGGTTCATTAAAATGTTTAGCAATTGCTGTTCCATTAATGTCACATGTGCATGCCACCACATGGGTGAGTACAAATGGATCGACTCCCTTTCAACATACAGGGAAGTAGTGTTTAGTCTCTAGAAAATAGAGAACAAAATATCAGCATGATAGATGAACAATTACAGTACATATAGTAATTTCTTCACAGAAAAAATACATGACAATGGTAAGCATTCACTGATATTCTATGAGAACGCAACAGAGAATGCAAAAGAAATCATGAAAACATTTTGATTGATCCTTTCGTTTTTGACCTAGGGAGGACCATGCACACAGGTCTCATTTTTTGTTTTTCAATGACCGGCACGTTATACCTCGTGTTTGGCTTCAGGTTTTCAATGGGCAAATGAGTGACTGCTGACGCTTGCGTGGACCACTTGTTCCTGATGAAGTCATCATAGGATGCACTGTAAACCAGGTAACCTACAAGTGGGAAGAAGGAAGAACCCAGTGAGCATCACGGAACCGCATCACACCAGAGGCACAACCCAGTGGAGGGTGGTGGGGATGAAGGCAGCTCCGTGGGACAGGTGCGAGAAGGGGGGCAAGCTGTGTGTTGGGTCAGGACGGGGTATTATGTGGGCTCTCTGGTGAATCCAGATTAAGGTAACAGAATTAAAGACACTTCCTGAGACTTGCTAGGTCCCTGCTTCTTGTCCTTCTCCTTACCTCCCCCATTCCCTGGCCTTCTCCATCTTCTCAGAACAAATCACATCTAATCTTGACTGCACAGAGAGAAAGGCAGAAGAAAAGAGCAGTCACCTCCACACAAGTATTTAAGGGTTTCCTGGTAGAGACATACAGTCATCCTTCATACAAAATAAAGAAACTATTGAATGCAGCGTGTGTGTGTGTGTGTGTGTGTGTGTGTGTGTGTGTGTGAGAAAAACCCCAGACTCATGGTGGTCTCCTCACCCATTTGGTGAAGGCTGTCCTCGATTTCTAGTTGTTTAATACCTGTGCCTGCCCTTGACCTTGAGGTCATGTGACAGCAGTCAGGCAGCTCTTCTTTCTGCCTCATCTGCTGTTAACGGACCTCAGAGGGTGAACCCTCTGCCCTGGCACCTGCCCTACCTTCCAGGCTGCCTCAGAAGGCCAGGGGAAGCTCATGTCACAGCTGCACACATCCTTTGTACGAGGTTTCTTATGTTGTACGCAAAGAAAGAAAACATTTGTCAAGCACTGCCTATGTGTCAAACATTATGCTAAATACTGTCGATTAAGTTTTACTTCCATTAATTTTCCTGATCTTAGTACACAGATATTGCTATCCTCATTTTGACACATGAGGAACTAAGTCCTAGAGAGGGGTTAAATATCCTGTCCAAGTTCACATTCACTAATTCATTTAACAGCTATTAAATGCATGCCTACTTTTCAGACACTGTGCTAAGTGCTGGAAATAGAACGGTGACCCAAAACTCCAGGAGCAGCGGGGCAGAGAGACAGACAGACAGAATTACACAGCTGTGGCTGGAACTGTAAGGAGCTGTCCTGTCCACGTGCTCAAAGGGGGTGCATAGGGGGAGCTGACCTAGTCATGGAGGTCATGGAGAGCTTCCCTGGCGTCACAAAAATGGGGCTGATAACTACTGAGAGAATCGGATCACAAGTCAAGGAGAAGGTCCATGGTATCTAATGCATCTAAGAGGCAAGCGGCTTTATTTAGCAACCTGTGGTTGCTGATTACCTTCACAAGAGCTATTTTGGTGGCATAAACATAATGGATTAGAGTCACACAGCTAAGCAACAGGCAAGCCGGGACCAGACACAGGCGCACTGGGCTCTGAAGCCCTTTCCACATCGCTCCCTGAGTAATTCATTCTTCAGCTGCTTCAACACATACTGCGTGGCAACCTGTGAAGGGCTGCTGCCCTCTCCATAGGATCCCCCCTCCTCTGATGACAGTGACATCAAGCCATACGTGCTTATAGCAATGATGTACGTAACAACAGCTCACCCAGGGGTGGATCCAGCCCATACGTGGGCGCCCTGGGGATGCCAGCTTTGATGGGATCAGCATGGGGCGTCCTCTTTGCCCTCCCGCTGCCATCAGAACCTGTGCTTCCTCCCACGTGGTGCTCAGGTTTCTCTTTATCTTTGTGTCTGGATTGTGAGGGCTGCGGGGTTTGGACAATGTACTTGCTGCACACGTGTAACATCTGATTTCTCTGTTGTTCTTAGCCGAACCAGTCCTGCAAGACGGATGAGCAGGTTCGGAAAAGCTAAGAGGCCATCACGTCTGTCATTTCCCACGCATCACTGCTAGTGGAGGAACCACTGCCTTCACTAGGAGAGGTTAGTCGCAGGCCGATGACCCTGCAGGAGTTTCCTACTACACATTGACTTGACTGCTTGTGAAAGAAAGAACGGCTGGTGCAGAGCAGCAGAGCACTCAACATCTCACAGCTACCAGAATCCAAGCCTCCTGTCATGGGTCCCAAAGCACGATGTCCTGTTTAGCTCTAGGAGGTATCTGTGTACCCATTGCTTCATTATTTTGTGGATAAAAGAGTTGGTACTTGATTAACATACTGAGGAGGAGCTCCCATTATTTTCCCCTTTAGCTTTTTGGGGTATGCTGCTTTTCCTGCATGTTGCAGGGCCGTCGCAGGCTGAAATGTTCCATGGTAATCAGCTTGGCAAGAGTGGACACAACTTCATACTGGGAATGCCTAAATCTTTATAAATACCTCATCCATATTATTTACACTAGTGGCTGGGTACTCGTGATTAGGGCACTAAGGTTTGGTTTGGGGTTAAGTCTAGGGTATGTGATGATGTAGTGACACCGAAGTCTCAGAGGAGCTTTGGACAGCTCAGGATGCAAAGTTAACAAGGGCACGTGTTTCAGAAGCACGCCATCTACCGGATAATACAAAAATCACACCTGAGTTGAGTCCAGAGACATGGACTGGGAGTTAGGCTCCTTACCCAGAAGGCCTTGAGGCCCATGAGTGTGGCCAGCACATTCATCCTGCAGCCATGTTTCTCAGACGTCTCATGGCGCGGGGACACAGCTATATATGTACTTACGGTAAGTGACATCTGTCATGCGAGAGGTCGAAAGCTAAATAACTTAAGGTAAGGTTTTTGGGTATTTTTTTCTCTGTATGCTTACTTACTTGCTTTAAAAAATTGCCATTCATAAAACCATATTCAATTAAGAAAAGGATTTTCTTGATGTTTTGACTCCAAGCTCTCCTCCTTCCATTGATTTATTTGGTTTCATTAGAAACATGCTGGACTTCACAGAATCTGGACACAGCAGCCCATGTAGCACACACACTGGAGTGACCAGCACTTTTAGTTACATCAAAGACACAGACTCCTTGATCCTGCCCCTTCACTGTTCCCCTGAGCCTTCAACCTCACCTGGCAAAATACCTGTGTCCCTCATCCTGGCTGTTGAGCCACTGTGCAAACTCTGTAAGAAAAGTTGCTCTTTGGATGTTCTTGAAATTTTTTTTTCCTATTTTAAGAGATAATATTAGGGACATAAAGCCAAAGCAGTAGAAATTTTTACTTTGATGAACTACATACACTAGCAAAATAGTGACAGACAACGTGTTAAACTTTGACCTATCCCACCACTACCCACCCAGCCCCGAGACACACACAGACATACATATGTTCCTTCCTCTTATACAACTTGCAGGCCCTGAAGAAATCATTTGCAAAGGAAGGCTCTAGTCAAAAAAAATATCAATTCTCTTCTGTAAAAACTTATTTTAACAAATTGCTCCTCAACTGTATCCTTGGCAGAGTCAGATGAACTCATGATCATTTCACAGGCCAAGATGTCTGGCCATTTTCCATTACATCCAATTCCTACGTAATGAATTCAGAAGAACCAAGACTGATCTGGAAACACCCAGCAGTCATGGAAAGAAGGGAAGAGGCAGAGTCACGACCCCTGGGTTGATTCTGATGCAGGGTGACACATGGCAGCAGCTCTTTCATTTCTAATGCTGCAAGAACTACTCTTACAAGTGGCTACATGGACTTCTTGGCCATTTCTAGGATTATAGAATATAATAGAGGTAACTATTTTGCATAGGAGGAAACCAAGGTACAAGGAGATGAAATTGGTAGCTCAAGGACATACAAACCAATCTGAGACTAGGATTCAGAATTTCTGACTTCCATCCAGTGCTCTTCATACTATCCCACAAGGCTTCCCTTTTTGCCTATATTTCATCCTCTTGAAAAGTAGATATCTGCACTCATCTATCCAGTCCATCTATGCATCCATCCAATCCATCCATCCATCCATCCATCATTCATCCACCAATTCCATCCATCCACCCACCCATTATCCATTCATTCTCCATCTATCCACTCATCCATCCACCCATACATCCTTCTATACATCCTTTATCCATCCATCCATCCATTCATCCATGCATGCATCCTTCCTTCATCCATCCATCCATCCATCTATCCATCCTTCATCATCCATCCACCCATCCATCCACCCATCCTTTATTGTCTGTATTTCCCACCAAAGGTCGATGGGAGCTCTTAACATCTGCCTTGGACACACCTGTTACCACATCTCCCGGGGTGGCTTTGTCCCAGTCCACAATGACAAATGAGTGGCAACCTTCCATAGCAACCACGGTGATGTTGCGGGGGACATGCTGAGGAGGCAGGTCATTCTTCCTCATGTCGCTTGGAATGATTTCATCCAGGCTTTCCACTTGGAAGTGATCCAGAGCATCGGTCAGAGAGCATGGGGCTGATGGGTCTTTACTTAGGTACGTCACATAAGGAGCTAGAAAAGAACAGAGATACCCAGTCAAATTGCTGAAGGCTTTCTCTAAAGGCAGAAACAATGTCTGCCCCATGGGATAGCCCCACCATGCAGTCTTTCCCTGATAAACAGGGGCTTCAGGGCCATCAGCCCTGATGCTAAACTCAGAAGCGCAACTCTCGCTCTCCTAATTGGATCCACACATTTACATCTTTCAATCTGGTGATTTCAAAAGATTGTATTGCCCCATCAATATCGATGACTATACCCTCAAAGTGATTTTCAAAGATCCCCAAACTACAATGCCGTATAATATAAATACACAGCATTCTGCCATTCCTGGACCCCAACATTTGGAAAAGTGTGGATCAGGCCCAGCTTGGGCTCTCTCAACACAGTTCATTTCCTAGGCAGTCTTGGGACCAAAAAGAAATATACACTGATCAAGATATACAGCCTCGGGGGCCGGCTGAGTGGCTCAGTTGGTTAAGAGCTC